CCGACCCTTTTGGCTGTTGCTCAAATGCTGCGTCAAACACAGGCGAGCATAGTATATATAGCTGTTTCAATAGGCCTCCAAACTTGCTCTATATAACATTATATAACCCCCCGCTCGAACACTCTGGCAAGCTTCTGATTGAGTTGAAAATCTCCTTTGCATCAGCTGGCTTGCACTGGCTGGCCGTTGGCCAAACCTAGACACGACACAAAAACATCAAAAATCAGGGAGCTCAAGGGGTGAGTTTCGAGCTTCAGTGTCAAATGCAACTGAAGCGCTCCAGCGACGTTCTTTTACCTGGGATGGTCGAGGCACTGATAGGATCAGCAAAAGTTACAAAAGCACAAGATTCGGGGCTGCAGCATGAAGCGTGAAGGCTAAGATGGCTAAGATCCAAGCAGGTCACGCACTTTGCATCAAGAAGGAGAGCTAAACCCAGCGCCTTCAGCGCCCAACCTGCAAGTTTGATCTCAAAGGCGCGAGGCCCTCCCTAAGTTGGCCTAAAGGCTCGGGCCTAGAAGATATGTAGCAAGTGTCATCCAAGCTTGCCGGCCAAATTGTTTCCTCGCATTCAGTGCAACAAAGCCAACCGGACAAATAACGTGAGTGGGAGAACAATCCTTGGCTTTACTTGGCCTGTTGCATTCAGTTGACAAGTTCTATATAGAGGAATGTAGAGGAGCATCTCAAGTTGCAGCTGAGCATCGTGAAATCACCACAAGCCAACAGACAAGTGGTGCGGCGATATGAATGGGTGCAAAGTGTGGATATGGAACTGCAACGGCCACAAATATCAATCAACACAATCAAAAATGGCCATGGAGTTCAGCGTAACTTGCAAGTTCAATACCCTCCAAAGGCTCCAAGGATTAAATGTCACAAAACAACGAAACATGTGAAGTGGAGAATGCTATGGCCGGCTACTTAAACTCTCTTGCCTTCGAAGCTTGTCTCAGCTCTCCTTTGCTTTCTGTGAGCTCTGAGGCGTCCAACGTTGATGTGCATTCCGGCCACCGAAAGGTGCAGCGCATTCCAGCCAGTCACAGTCCCGACATCCAGCAAGCCTTGCACATTCTAGTACTAGTCATCGATTTTAATCGCCGGGAAGTAGCATTCAAAGTCAACAGCAAAAAACTATCAAGCCAAACAGTTGCAACATGTTGCAACATTGGTATGCAAGGCCACTCATCATTGCGGAGTGACTAAACTTGAAAACCAGTGGAGTAAAGGCGGCCTTTTTCTTTTGTTGGCTCCACCTTGGAAGGAGAGGAGAGGGGGATCATAATTTGCCTTGCTTCATTACCGGCGTGATGTGGGGGTTGTCCAAATAGCTTGGATATGGAAAGTTCTTCTGCCCGAAAGAATGCCCTCGATGCCGCTAGTAAAGCACCCTTCGTGTCATCCAAATCCATATCCATATACAATCGACTTACAGTATATATAAGTCGATATTATAGGTTGAGCGAAATGGCTGAGATGAAATCACAATTAGAGAGCAGCCGTTGTTGGGGACGATTTCCGAGTCATTTTGGAGTGCTTCCGAAAGAATGCCCCATTGCAAACATGTGCTGGATTTCCCTCCAGGGCTCCAGCCAGCAGGCGCATGACGATGTCGTAGCCACCCTGGCACTGAGTGTGAACCATTCTGACTCGACGACTGTTAAGCCCTGACTACCCTGATATTCACAAAGCATAAATTACTTTGTTAACACTTAAACCTGGTGTTATGAAATGGGTATGCGATGGTCGGCGGTCCTACACAAGGGTTCAAGTCCCGTGTGCGCATTCTAAAGTTTAAGGATGTTAAAGGTATTTCTACCACTGCAGCATGCTTGTACTGATCTCATTCACGCCAGGATTCTTGTTTCGAGATGACCCATCATGGTCCGCAAGTTACCTTTTGTATCCTTTTGTCAAACCATGTCTCTACACTGCCTGGAATGACATGAATCATTCCCAAAATACTGCGGGAACAATGTGAAGTTTCGAATATGCCCGGCAAATGGTGTGTCCTGTGCAGCAAAGTGGATGGGCAGCTCGGACTTGTAAGTCTGCAAGTTGGCCACAAAATAGTAGGCGGCTGCTAATTATATAAGTAAGGAGGTAAGCTGCTAGGAGAAGTTCGCCCCTAGCTAGGACGCAGGATAGCTCACCCTTCTTCAAGCGCTCGTACTAATGATGACTTGGTTTTCACATCAAGGCAAACGGGGCACATCTCATCACATCAGCTTGTGTTGAGACTAGATTGACTAAACGCCGATCAAGCACTCACTTTCTCCAAGCTGAGTTTCCCTGCACTGGCGATGGCCACATCGGCCCGCATCTCAGCGACAAAGGCGGCTGCAGGATGTTGCAGGATGTTGCGGGTAGTGGCATTTCTCAAGGGGTTGAAGACAACTGTTGCCAGATGTCGCAAGTCTGCATGGCATAACTGAGCTGGTCACCTCTAAGAGAAAGGCAACCATTTCAGCATTGCCTCCACACTAATACTCCGTTGCGGCGTGGGCACAAGCTCCATAGATTCGACAGCAAATTGCGTGGCTTTGCCATACAATGCCACTGGAAACATGATGCAATGATGCAAAAAGTGCACTCTATCCGTCTTCGAGGCCCACTTGCTTATTGGTAGCGCCTGCTGCAGATGCAACCAACAATGAGGTGTAGCCTCGGAACTTCAAAGCTGCATAATTGTCCAAGTGTCAGTGGACCAGCACTTGGCAACAAAGTGGCATGCGAAACCATTCCGTCGATCAAAGGCACAAACCGTGAATACTCCGCTGGTTCACATCCTAAAATGCGGCCGAGCATTCCCTTTGACATCTGAAATCATCTGAATCAATCAGGAAAAGCTACTCTGGCACACAAAACCTAAATCCGAGTCGCGAAGGAGGTGAGTATAAGCTCGCGCAATAAAAGAACCAATGTCAATGTCAACTGATCCAACTTCCAACATGAATTAGTGCGATCGTCTGAGAATATCTGAGATCTGCTTACTGGCTTATCTTGAAAAACAATACTGTTGTGCTTGTGCCTGGTTGGGTAGCCTGGAGTCATTACAGGTGGGCAATTCACATATTTTTGGCCCAGTGTCAACAGCCAGCATTCGCTCCAAGGCTTCAGGTTGCTCCATTTGAAGACGATGCCCCTGTCCGAGCTCTAGGAAGTGGAATCCAAAGGGGGAGATAGCTTCTGATAGCTTCTTGTTACTAGTAGCTACTTGCTCCTAGTAGTACGGCCAGGAGCCCCTAGTAGCGTCCTTGCTCCTAGTAGCGATGCCAGGAGCCCCTAGTATCGTTCTTTTCCTGGGCTGCATCTTCATTTTATCAATGAGTGTTCTTTCTTTAAACGGGAAGGGGCTTTCTACAAACTTCCATAGGCATGTGAGCTAGACTTTTCAATCCCTTAGACCCTAACAAACACTGAGCCTTCGGCGTCTTATCGGGAAGTACAGTCTGGCAAATGGATGGAATGCTTGGATATCCCCAATGCTGATGCTGGTTGGGAGAATTCAGGAATACTACAAATACCAAATGTAGGATAATGTAGGTTCTTTCACCATCCCTGATTTTGTGACCAATAATAAGTCGGGAAGCTATCAGATCAGGGACTTATCTTCACCTGGTTGATCGACAAACGCTAGTGACACCATGGCAATGCCCTGACGCCTCGCCTTATCACTCAGCTGCAATGCGTAAGCCTTGCAACATGTTGTGGACAAACTTGCATGTTCTGTGTGAATCTGACCGCCTGCCATACAAGCGATGCGATGCGCACCATATTCACAAAAGGACATGAATACATACTCCAAGCGATCATCAAAACGACTGATCACAAATGATCACAAATGCAAGTTGAAGACAGTTGAAGGACGCTTCAATGCCATTCACTCCCACACGATGGAATCATTCTTCCTAAGATTCCTGGCAAATGGTACTGACTCCTGAGCACGGCGAATGGAGTGAATCGACTCCTCCACCTCTATTCGCACAGCCTGTCCATCGCTCAAGTGGCTTGCACGCAAAAATGCGGTGCGCAACATAAACCAAGATGGAAAGGCAGGCATCTGGGACTGATATTGTCTGATTGATATTGTTTATGAGTGCTGCCTATTGTGGGCTAATGTTGGTCTTCCCTGTGTGTTTCTTTTTGCCTTGGACTTTCCCTGGCGAGGTTGGAAGTGATGGATGATTGTTTACGCTTGTTTGATGTTTGGGCTTTGGCTCGGACGTTCAACGAAGGTTCGATGGACGAAAGCCAAGTTTGCAATTGTTCACTTCAGGCATCCTCGGGCCTGCAGGAACTCTTCATCTGGGCGAGGGCCATCGTACTCGACCCTGGGCAACACTGGATGATTTTGTATGATTTTGTGTCGACAGATTCCTAGCAAACCCTAGACCTACAAGCTAGTGGAGAGCACTTCCTTGCTCCAACAATGACATGCCATCAAATCCGGAAGAAAAACTAATGATGAGCAGCCCAAGGCCCCCAATGCAAAAGAATGGACGATGCATAATTATTTGCTCACAGGGCGGGGTGCTAGAGTAAGCTTTTTTTAGCTAGCTTAAATATTGCTCTTGCACTGCAGGACACAGAATCGCCAGGCCGAGGACCGAGCGCCTCTGGACACGCTTCCTGGCGGAACCAAGCGGAATCTGCTCAGCAACCACCAAGCAAAGAGCAAATTGCCAAATTGATCCAAATTGCATCTCTCAAGCACCTCGTATACATGTCTTCAAGCATCAACTGCACCAAGAAGGAAGGGTTGGCGGCGGTTGGCGTGCTTCTTTGTTTTTCTGCGTGCGCGCTCTTTGTCACAAGCCTGACTTGCAAGGCTACAGTAACTCTTTCTCTCCCTCTACGCGCAGGCCATCGTTGGTCATCAGAATCAGTGCTTGACACTCTGCGAGAGCATCTTCCAAGTGGTAGCTGTCTTCCAGGTGCCCGAGCCTTGACAGTTTCCTTCAAGAAGTGCTTGACGTGAATCAAGCCAACTTTCACAACTATCGATTGGGCAGTTGTTGACACCTGATTTGCTGCACCGTTTGGCAAGCATGCATAGCCGCTCCGTTGGCAAGGCATGCCCGAAGAAGCCTCAACTCTGAGTTTCAAAGTTGAAATCAAGGCAAGCAAACCTTGGCCCCCCGATGGCCAAAAAGCAAACATTTATATAATTTGGCAAGGCATGTGCCAGCGAGCAACCCTGCTCCAAGACCACGATACAAAGTTTGTTCATGCCAGGCTCGGCGCAGTAACTCAATGGCGCCTTCGACGGGGACCCTCAAAGCAAGCTCTCTACAATACAATTCACAAGAACGAGCTAGAGAATCAAAATCAAACATATGTACAGTGCCAAAAGCAAATGCTTGGTGCTTCAGGAGACAAGTTCCCCCTCTTCAATTGTTAATAATTGTTAGATTGATAAATCGATGTAAGTGGCCTAAGACAAGAAAGGAGACTTTGGTTGTCAATGGCAGTGATCTGTTGACATTCCCTTGAGCATTCAGGCAAACAATCTTGATGCCTCGCTTGCCATTGCCTTGCTCAACCTGCCACGAGACTCGTCGTCAAATCAAACAAACAGTTGGCACGCCCAGCATCGCTCAGTGTAGAAAGCATGTCACCGTGCCAGGACAGTCAAACAGCATCAAGCAATAATTGCCCTTCTATGTATATAGATGTATTATCCGTCAGTAGTTCAGGGGTGTTGGTTATGCCGTGGAGGCCTGTCGTCCTCTTGGTGCAACCCTTGAACTTTGCTTAAGGAGGGTTGAGTCAACGTCAATGTCACACGGCCTGGCTCTGCAGCTGGCTTTTAACGACATCAAATGGCCACGCAAAAACCCAGCCTCAAACAGCAATCAAGATTTGTTCATCTCAGTACTCCTTACCAATCTTCACTGCTGTTCTGTTTGTTGCTGCGACCAGGCTGAGATGAAACATCCCAGCAAGCCTTTTCCAGCAGGGTTCTTGTTGTGGAGTATTGCGTATTGCAGTCAGCACTTGCAAGCAACCCATTGCGTCAATTAGTGATAATATGCGATGATCTCCGGTGCCTGCTTTGCACCAAGCGACAACAAACAGTCACGCAGCTTCCACGAAGAAATGGCAATTCTCGGAAGGCAATAAGCGTGGTAGAACTGTTCAGCCTCTCCTTGCAAACACAAACAATGCCTTTTCAAATCTGATGGAAAGAGTCAAAAGTTCCTAAACCAGTTGGTCGATGCACACCAGGTCACCAAGATTGACATTGCAAAAATATAAATCATGTTCAACCAAGTGTATGAGCTATCAGAACCATTGAACACATTCAATTTGTATGGTATTTTTTGCAGTCACCCTATTATATAATGCCCCATGATTGGGAGGCTGATTTCAAGTTTCAAGTGGTCTTCAGCGCTCAAGCCCTTAAAGGATCTTAAGAAAGCCTTGGGTCGGAAAGAGTGAAGAAGATAGTCACCAGGATCACGTTCCTGAAGCACGTTGCAGAAACACCTGCACCGAGATACGCCACGTAGCACCAAGAGAATGCATAACAATGACAAGCAACAAATAATATCAATCGAACTGGGGCACTGTACAATTTGGAAATCTAGTCGGTACATATCTGGATGCAATCAGTTCCATCACGCTAGCACTCGATCTGAGTTGACCTTACTAAGGGTCGTATCAGATCCGCCTCTCCACATGCATCCCGATCGCAGGGCATTGAGATATGCAGTGCCCCATACTTGTTTTTGTGTCTTCAGGGCCTCCCAAGGGTTCTCCTTGCGAAACGCGGGTCAAAGCAACAATGTCTTTTCCGTTTCATTCTGTGGTCTTCTTGTTGACCCCTCTGCACACAATTGCTGAGAATCTCAAATCTCAGAGGATCACATTATATTATGTAAATGGCGATCATCTTGAAAAATCCTCATCTGCTACCCAGCTTTATCATGCTTTATCCGCAATCCTCCTCCTGCACTTGCATATGTCTGTGCAGCCCGCTGGTTTGATGGTGCAAAACATGTTGTCCATTACCCCAATAAATGTCGCATGGAATGCATTCCATGTCTCCAGCTGATTTCAGAGGTCGCATGGGCATCTATTGGCTGACATATAATCAATGTTTGGTGTTCTTGCGTTGTAAGTCTGCATCTTTGCCCTTAAACACCAGCAACTTTGGAAGAAGCATCCGCAATGCTAAGAAGCCAAGATCCGGAAGTGCTCAAGCTGCTTTAGCTCAGCCCTGTAATTACTCACTCCCCTTCTTCAATATTCCCTGGGTGTGCCTCCCTGCTTCATTCTGTCTTTGCGGCATGTTCATTCTGCCTGTTGCCACTGAAATGCTAATTTCTCAGATGCTAACATCTATTTGCAGGCCCAGGTTCCACCAAGGCGCGAGCCAGCCCGGCTATTGCCCCACTCGCCCACACGCGACCATCAACACCAAGAATCGTGCAGCCAGCCCAAGGCTGCAAAATGGTGAAGGCTCCTGAAGTGCTCCACTGAAAGCTGTCACTTGGGCATTCGAGGTCGTGTCTATCGCAGATCTCGCAGTAAGGTTTAAAAAGTGAAAGCTCAAGGGGGTCGCAAAATGGAGTGATTATAGATTATATACCTAGCGCTTCCTGTTTGGGTGTCCTGGCTGGAGACCTTTTTTCAGTAGTGTAGGGATGTCCAGCCAGATGACCCCGCCAAACACAACCTGTGGCTATTGTACCAAGATCAATGATTGTTGAGGAAAACAAAACAAATACAGTAATACACGGTGACTTGGGGGAATCATGGGCGGGTGGAGTCATGCCACCAGCAGCAGCAGCAGCAGTAGTAGCAGGACCAGCAAACCAGGAGGCGGGGGTAAATTCGTAAGTGAGGGTGGGGCAAAGGCTTGCGACATCTTGGAAGGGACATCCAACGCAATTGGATTTCACGAAGGGTAACAACAGTAACAACTGCCAATGGAATGAAGCTCTCCGACCCAAAAACAGTAACTCACCAAAAAGCAAAGCGAACCATGAGCCCAAGTCAATCTGAATATGAGATGAGATGCAGTGCAGCGAAGGTGGGGACTCAGGAGTGTAGTGTGTTTGTTCAAGTTGCCCGAAGCATCCCCCTACCCTTGCCGGAGGTTAAAGCATGTTAAAGCACTAGATGTTCCAGCTAGGAAACACTAATCATTCAGTATTGACTCTTGCTTGACACACACATTTATATATATATATAGCTGTACGCTGACATTCTGCGCTTCCTGGCTTATTGCCTGCTGAGTTTCCTGAATATACCACGAAAGGCAAGGAGCGGAATATCACGGAGCCACAAAGCATTGGCGCGGTGCCTTTGTAGAAGGAACCAAACTTTGCCAGGAGTGGAGTGTTCAACGAAGTTTGCCTGGAGTCCTGAGGAATCGGAGGATTCCCGCATCCACGGCAGCCAGTGTAGCCAGATGTAAGTCACAAGTGTTGTATACGTAGATATGGGTTTGTATTTTTTTAAGGTTCCCGGGCCGGGATGTTTGACTATGGGGTATGCTTCGGAGGTATGCTCCGGGGGTATGCTTCGGGGGTATGCTTCGCGCAGTGTGAAGACTAAAGTAGTAGCATTTCCAGAGGGTATGCTTCAGGGTATGCTTCGGGGTATGCTTCGCCTAAGTCGAACATCCCAGCCCTACATAAACTGGACACCTTAAAAAAAAAAACAAGCCCATATGTGTATAGTCAGTTTAATCAATGGACAATGCGACATGATCCTGAAGATTGATATGCTCTACACTGCCAAATGCTACCCATAGCGAAACACTTGCTGTAACTATAATAAGTTGTACAACGCGCGGGAACCGACAACACGTGGCCATCTCCGAGCTGCCTAGCTACTGTTTGGCAAGACCAAATGCGCTGCACTGTTTGGACAAAATTTCTGCCTCGGTCTTCAGTCCTTGGTGGCGACATCTTTCGAAACATAGCCAGCTGAAGCACGTGTGATCATATGTCACTTTCAATCAAAGCACTGCATCATTGTCTTGATTGTATCCAAAGGCTGTCCAAGAAAGGTTGCCGTAATACCTCAGTGCTTGAAGTTCCTTGAGTTGGTGGCAAGGGGAGCCACCAGCCACCAGGCTCCTGGTGCATTATATAAGGCATTCTATCTCTTCGAGCCCAGCACCATAGGCAACACCAGACGCCAGTGACCACGACAGTTCTTCTGTGAAGCTCCCACCTCCTGTAGCAAATTCAATGCCACGACATTCTAATTATTTGTTCAAACATATTCCTAGTAGCGTCCTTGTTTCTAGTAGCGATGCCACGAGCCCCTAGTAGCGTCCTTGCTCTATTTGCGCCTTGGCCTTGGAAATGCAAAGTGGAAAATCACAACACGGTAAAGCGCCCCTGATGTGGTATCAATCCTACAAAGGTAGGGCTAGCAACTCCTGCAAAATCCCCAGGCTTGACCATCTTCCCATGGCTTCGCAGGGCTCCATGCAGGTGATACCAATAAGCGCCAATAAGAATCTATTCTTGATTCCAAAGTCCCTCACAAAGGGTTTGTGAGCTGTGGGCATCTGCATTCTGTTGTGAAACTAGGTTTGGTTGGCCATTGCTCGCTGATTGGTCTTGATCCGAACACATCACTCCCTGCAGCCACAGCACCCATTGCCGGGAGAATGAAGTCTTTGATCAGTGCAGAAGTGCAAGAAACAAAAATAACATTACATTAAAACAAAGCGATTTAAGCAGGTCGGATTCTGGTCTGTGTTGCCTCTTGTGAGTTCTGACTTGCATCCTCGCCAGCCCTTCTGTCTCTCTTCTGCTTCCCCTGCAGCTATTTGCCAGTCTCAAGCTATTGCCACGGAAAATACAAGCATCTGCCAGCCTTGAACCTTCTTTCATCACCAGACGCCACTGATGAATTGGTGCTTGCCTTGGAGAGCGCTGCTCACATCAGTTCAGCTCAGGCAGGACTTTCTAGTAGCCTAGGCCCTAGGCAGCCTGGGTAATCAAAAACTCGCCAGTGCCTTTACGAGCCATTAGCTTTCCAAGTTCTGACTCGAATATATTCAATCTAAGCCTATCTAAGCTTTCAGCCAACGAAGCCTTGCTCCTCAGCATGACAAACCATCAGTAATCACAAAGAACCCCTCCGTATATTGCAGGTGCTGGCTATTCCTGACAGAAGCTGATCGGCTGGATGACTTGGAAGGCATCCGGAGGCACTTGGAGCTGTTTGAGAAATTGGAGCTGCCAGACTTCATCTTGAACATCACAAACAACAATTAAGTTACATTTGTTGTTTCATTTTGTTTCTAATAGCTTCTTGTTACTAGTAGTAAGGCCAGGAGCCCCTAGTCGCGTCCTTGCTCCTAGTAGTAAGGCCAGGAGCCCCTAGTAGCTTCTTGTTTCAATAATAATTACGCTCAAGATGTGGACAATAACCCATATTCCATAGAGTCGACTATATTGGTCACCACAATACACGTCGTGGGTGTTCTGCACTGCTGGTCACTCTGAGCCTTGCTGATCCTTGCTGGTAAGTTCTAGATCTCTGGGTGAGACAATGCTTGGAGCCGAAGAATCAGCAGTGAATACATTGAATACATCAATCAAGAAAGGCCAAGCCTCAAACAAAACACGCTGGCACGAAAAATGCCCCTGAAAGTGGGAAGCTAGAAGCGGTGAAGCAATGCACCTGGACCAGTCTTCCAAGGAAGCGTGTTTGTCTTCTTATCTCACTGGACCAATGCATTGCCTTTCCTGCAGCTTTTCTTGTGCACATGGCTGAACGCATGCCAGGCTTCGTGTCGAGGCTCGTTTGAGTTGAACTGTTTTTGATGCTCTACTACTCCGAGCTGTGAAAGATGCGAGCGCGGGCTTCTGCCAGTTCACCACCTCGGCTGCAGGAATTTAGCATATCTCAAATGTCAATAAATGTGGCCATCGACAATTTATAGGAAAGCCATGGCTGTACATGGAAAAAATCACAAATTTCCTATGGTTGCGGGCTGGATATATAAATATAAATAATATATATATATATGTGTGTGTGTTTTAGTTGTATATTTGTGTTAAGGCTTCAGCCTTCTGTAGCTTTAAAGAGTTTCTGATTAATTCGAATTGATTCTCAACTAGTGTTAGATTTATTGTGTTAATGATATATTTTTGGGGGGGCTTCAGTCGTTTGTATGTTTCATGTGGTTTTAGTCAATACTAATTGATTCTTAACTAGTGTTGATTAATTGTGTTAGTTGGATATGTTTGGCTTTAGCCTTCTGTACGTTTAATTAGTTGTCAATAGTTGTATTGATTTGCAATTAGCTTTTGATCATCGTTAATTCAATGTGGTCTTTTTACAATGCTGGTAAGACAGTCATAAAGGTTACGTGCAGAACCAACTAAAATGCAAAACTTAAAAAAAAAAAAAAACAATGGGATGCGAACCAATATAGACCTAATTCACCAAAAATGTAAATGGCTATATATCTACTGTAGATGTATCATCGCCGGACCCAGGCTAACCCTGTGAATCTTGAGAACCAAAAATGCAAAAACACGGCGAGAAAAACTACAAAAAACAACAGCAAAAAAACATGCAAATCCAACAAGCAAAAAGCAAATGAAAAAGCAAAAGCCAACGAAAACAAGTTAAAAACATATATAATAACAATAAACATCCAAAAAGCAAAACAAATGCAAAAAACACAAACCAAAAACAAGCAAATCCAAAACACAAAAACAAGCAAATGAAAAAGCAAAAGCAAAAAGAAAACAAAAAGCAAAAGCCAACCCCCTCCCCAGAGAGAGCAACCGGGCCTGGGGTGGGGGCCTCTCACGCCGACTTTTTGGTGTCCTGCCGGGACTGGGTTGGCTGTGGCGGCTTGTGTCTGGGCGCCAGGGGCCTGCGGCACGAGGGGTCGTGCTATAGGCTGAAGGGGTGGTGGGACCTCTCACACCGGCTTTTGGTGCGGGTTGGCCGCCGCTTGTCTGGGCCCCAGGGGCCAGGAGGAGGAGGAGGGGTCACGCTTGGGCCGATGGCCTGGGGCCCAAAAAGGAAGGACGCAGCAGGAGGGTCTGGGGAGCCAGGCAATGGGGTAGCAAAAACAGCCTGCTTCTGACCTGTGGCGCGTTGTTTAAAGGCCAGAAAACAAGCTAGCAGCGACTAGCTAGCGGCTAGCTGCGCCCATCACTTGGCCTATTAAAAGGGACACGGCGGCAACATAGAAGCACTGTGTTATACTATACTATATGCACTATATGCGCACACAAAGGGGCCCCAACTGTCTGCAGCCAGCGGTCCAGTCCATAGTGCCTAGCTTGGGAAACATGTTTTGCTGCGCTGTACTAAGTCGTGTATTTTGCTTTGTTTTTTGACTTATGATGTGTGAATTTGTGTTGTTTGCTGGCAATTGTCCAATCATTGTTACTTTTGAGACTTGCGCTGTTTGGCTTTGTGTGTTGCATTGTTTTTGTATGTTGTTTGACTTGTGTGTTTGGTTTAGTTTTTCTTTATGTTATTTTTGTGTGTATTTATTGCTGTGTTGCTTTCTTTTTGCTGTTGCTTTCTATTTTGGTGTGTTTGCTTTTGCTTTCTCATATGCGTTTTGATTTAACGTGTTTTGATGTTGCTTTCTTGGCTTTTGCTTTTTCAGTTTGCTTTGCATTTTTGCTTTGCTTGTTTTTGATTTTGCTGCTTCATGTTTTGCTTTTTGGATTTGCTGCTTTTTGGGGCTTGTGCTTTTTTGTTTGCATTTTTTGCTTGTTGGATTGGCTGTTGCTTTTGTTTGTTCATTTGGCTGTTTATTGTGTTTTGGATTTGTGTTTTTTGTTTTCTTTGTTTCATGTGTTTTTTTTGCTTTTTGGATTTGGTTTTTGTTGGCTTCTGCCTTTCGTAGTTGCTGTTGTTTCGCTTTTTTTTGCTTTTTTTGTTATTTTGCAAAACCGTCAGAGATAGCCTAAGTGGTTTTCTTAAATCTAGATCTATAGCTATACCATATACCCGAAGCTGTGTCTACGTGCAAAAACCTGCAAACTAGTAACAACAGCAGTCTGACCGGTTCATAACCATGGCACAGTTGGTTGGTTTGTGGTACTGTAACTTGGAACGACCAAAAAACAAATATCATTGAGTTTCTCCGATGAATCTTCCTAAACCACAATGTTTTGGCTCTGGCTCTCTCCTTTGTCGGTCACTGGGAAAAAAACGCGCATGTACTTGGCTTCTGAATGATTGATTGATTGATAAATTAATTGATTGATTGCTTAATTGAATGAATGAATAAATGAATGAATGAAAGGTTGCATGGATGAATGAATGAATGATTGAATGAATGAGCGAACGAGCGAAAGAGCGAACGAATGAATGAAGGAATACCAAAAGATACACAAATAAACATAGAATAGATTTGATCCATAAAGCCAATATAAACCTTCACCAAAAAAAAACAATAAGTATATTAAATGGCCGAAACTGTTTCTACGCTCGCAAAATACAAGCAGGTGGGGGCGCCGGGGAGGCCGCAGCGCTTCTTTCCTCCCTGCCTTCCTTCCTGCCTCCTTCCTGCCTTCCTTTTTGCCTTCCTTCCCTCCCTCCTTCCCGCCAGCTAAGCCTTATACATCATACATCCCACTACAAACATACCCCCCTTTTATCAAATTTATAAAGGTTACTGCAACTCTCAGCAGAAAAGGGTGTATCTTCTAGGTCTCACCGGCTGTCCAACTCACCTGACTCACTCTTGCCAGGACATGGTGCCACAGTGCTTCCCAAAGTAACTGGGAGATGCTGTGTGCGCTGCGTATTCTTTCGCTCTCCAGTTGAACCTGACGAAGGGTGGCATGGTCTCACAGTGTGGCGTGTCCGCAACTATAGCGCATACCGTTGCATACCGCATACCCACAAGAATGCTTTCTCTAGGTCGTGGCCGCAGGCTGTGATCTTATCAATCTTCCTCTAATAAACGGACCCTCCGTTCAAATAAAAGGCCGAATTGTTTTAACTATTCGAGGTACAGTACGTTTATTGTG